CAACAGGGAAAAGACATTGCACAGATTTACATTTACTTTAAAAACTCAAGTCTACTTGGTTGGATTATTTTACCATTTTGTTTCTTGCCTCATCAACCAAAATGTGCAAAGTTGCTTGCAAAACTACTTATAATGTAATACTACAAATAGTTGAAGAAAACCTGTGAAAGATTGCCAAAAGTTAAATACATGCAACGTAAATCATATGTAGTTAGCTAAGAGATAATTTAGATAATTCCTGAAGTCCTCTGTGGTTCCTGTTAACCCCAGCTTGCAGTCCAGCTCCTGATGAAGAAGCTAACTGTCCTGTATACTTTGTACTTACACCCTTGTTCACTATTGATTGGATCAGAATGAGATTCTGAAACAAAAACAGATGTGTAAATCCGAAATAAGCAATTCATGACAAAGGCCAATTCAAAATGAGTGTAGAACCTTCGAGATTAACTCCTCCAGAAAGTTTAAAGCGAACAGAGGGGACCTAGTGATTGGAAGGGCACCTGAAAAGCCGAGGAACCAGCAGAAGACGGACTGTAAGCACAAAGTATTAGAAAATGCAAACTCTAGGGATCCAGTTTGAAGTTATGAATTCCTGCAGAGTTTCCCCAAAATGTTAGAGTCTAAAATCATCTTCCATTTCAAGCTTCAAAGGCAGAACACTGCTAAAGTGCCTGTTCTTGGGCTACCATGAGTTTCCCATCCGTTATACATTTATACCCCTCCTTTTTGTCTAGCACTCTTATAATAAAATAGAAAATAAACACAAAAGATTAAAATATTCCAAGCAGGCATGGTGGTACATGCTTGTAATCCCAGCACTCAGAGGCCCAGGCAGGAAGACTGACTTCAAGGTCAGGCTAAGGCTAGTACCCTGGAACTTGGAACTCTGCTTAATCTGGAAGGGAAAACAACACTAATAATTCACTGTCTTCTGCAGTGGAGAAATACCATTAGCTCAAGGCCAGCCTGAGGCTACATGACACAGCAACACTGTCTTCTATAGTAAGATTTCCTGCTTTGAAACAAGATATAAAGGCACTGTACTTCTGCAATAAACTGCCTGCTTAGCCAGCCTGCAAGGTCAGCCAAGGGCTACATGGCACCTTGAACTCTCCATCCTCTGGATAGAAGAAACACCACTAGCTCAAGGCCATCTTGGGCCACATGCATCATTTCAGTCAGCCTGCACTGGGTAGGAAGACTCTTGCCTTCAAAAATAACAATCACAGGCCTCCTTCTGGGCTACCAGAGAAAATACTTCCCCTCTGGTCTTGATGGAAAAAAATTACAGTTCATAAGAGTTCACAGAGGCCTTTGATGATGGGGAGAAGAGTCCATTCTAAACTGTTTGAAATGGTTGTAGCTAGATTAATAATTTCAGGAACCAGAGTAATACTTCATCAATCATTGTTGTGTATCTTCCTCATGATGTCCATGGAGTTTTCAACATAGCTGGTACCAACACGAAGGTAGTCCAACTGGCTACTTGGCTGAGAGTCCTTTGAACTGTCACCAGAGACATGAACACCAGAGAAGGGGTCCCTGTTAATTAGGGAATCAGACACACCCACCCCCCAACTGCCATTTTAGTTTCTGTAAAAGAAAAATAGCATAAAAGAAGTATTTACAATAAAGGCTTATTATTAACAGTTAACAGTATTCAACAGTGTCTTAAGAGTGCTTAACTCCTGTCCCAGCTCCCCAGGGACAGGTGCCTAGTGTTAGAATTCAGGATGAAAAGACAATGTGATAAAGAAGTCGCTTTATTAGCTATGAAGGGCCAAGCAACCTTCCCATGAGAATGGAGGTTGTTGTACTGGGGTTCAGGAAGCCTGGAATTGGCAGTGTGGTGGGGCGCCTCGAGACTGAACATAGCTATGCCATGTTACAAGCAGGCCCCAGCTAAACCCAGTAGTTAAAGCTAGAGGCAGTGAACTCAAATGTGGAAATGGAAAAGTTTGACCCAGCTGCACCAAAGTATGGATTTGAGAACCGGTCAGTGTGCACCTGGTTGGAACCAGACATCTAGATTAGGGACTGTGTGTTCTGAAATATATGTAACTTCCTCCTGGTGTGGGAGGCAAAATAGGCAGATGGTCAGTTTGTTCCACAATTTGTCAGGCTGATTTCCTTCACCTAGTTGGTCTCAAGATTATTGGTGATGTTAGTGTGGTTGATAGTAATGAAATGTGTTGACATTTGGAAGAATTGCTTAATTCTGTAAATCAGTATTTTCCAAATGACAAATGCATATTACAAAATAATGTGCAGGAAATATACATTCAGGGTTACAATTAAAATCAATGATTTTTAAAGTAACAGTATGAAATGTTCACTTAAGTAGTTTCAGATTTCAAATGGAAAATAATGATTTTTTTTTAAGTCAGGTCTGGTGGTGAATGCCTTTAATCCCAGCACTTGATAGGCAGAGGCCGGTGGATCTCTGTGAATTCAAGGCCAGTCTGGTCTACGCAGCAAGTTTAGGCCAGCCAGGACTAAAAACATAATAGGCTGGGGAGATGGCTTAATCAATTCAGTGCTTGCCATGAAAGCATGAGATCCGAGTTTGGATCTCCAGCACCCATAAAAACAGTGGGCCTGGGAATGCCTGCAATCCCAATGATGATGTGAAGACAGGCAGCACCCTGGGGCTTGCTAACCAGCCAGCCTAATTCATCTGGGCTCTCCAGGTTCAGTAAAAGACCCTGTTTCAAAAAATAAGGTACAGAGCCATTGAGGGAGACACCTGTTGTCAACAACTGACCTCTACACTTGCAGGAATGCACACACGCACACACCTGTGAACATGCATATTACCATGGTCACTACTAAAATACCTCTCACTTTGCCAACTACCTATTTGTCATATCAGACATTCTTCATGTATTTTAGCTAATATAACACATATAGGTATCTTCTATGAATCCAGACATCAAAGAGATCTACATGCAACAACATACAAGGATACAAAATTCCTTTTTTTGTTGTTTTTTTTTTTTTTTTTTTTTTTTTTTTTTTGTTGTTGTTTTTGAGACAGGGTCTCCCTGTAGCCCCAACTGGCCTGGAACTCACTATATAGACCAGGCGCTGGGCTTGAACTCACAGAGATTTGCCCTGCCTCTGCTTCCAGAGTGCTGGGATTAAAGGTGTGTGCCATCATGCCTGGCCCTGAAATGCTTCTAATTTTTTTCATAAAAATATTTTTAAATGTTATCTTGTGATTGGTACTATTATTTGTTTGAGACAATCTCATGTAATTCCACGTAGCCTAGGCTGGCCTGGAATTCCCTAGGGAACTGAGAATGACCTTGAACTACTTACTAATCCTTCTCCATCTACCTCCAGTCATTTATCACTATGCAGGCCATTTACTTATTTTTGGTTACTATTCTAGTATGTGTGCTTTAATTTCTAATATAAATAGTAGTATATAAATAGTAAGCAAGAGGTTTACCCTCAATAAAACTGAAATGTAGAAGTGCCTAGAGATAAAAAAATGTTGAGAACTGGTGCTCCACACTGCTTCGCTGACAAATTCAGCCTATTAAACGCCACAGACATTGAGTGGGAGATAGTCCAGTGGGTAAAGTGCTTGCTGTGAAAACATGAAGACCTGAGCCAAGATCCCAGAAGGATAAAAAGTTGGGCATGTTGGAGTGCACCTGTAATCACACACTGGGAGGGGAAGAGCTCCAAATTCAGTGAGATCCTGTCTCAAAAATGAGGGGCCAAGGAGGTGCCTCAAAGGATAAAGGCACCTAACCCCACGCTTGAAAACCTGAGTGCCATTCCCAGGACCCATATGAGGAGGGAATTGACTCCTGCAAGTTGTCCTCTGACCTCCATACTTGCCAGTGGCATGCCCCTACCTACACACAAAATAAATAAAAATGCAATTTAAAATAAGAAACTTATAAGTTGGGCTGGTGGTGCACGCCTGTAGTCCCAGCACTTGGGAGGCAGAGACAGGCGGATTGCTGTGAGTTCAAGCCAGCCTGGTCTATGTAGTGAGTTCCAGGGGCTACAGGGAGACCCTGTCTCAAAAAGAACAAAAAAAAAAAAAAAAAAAAAAGGTACTTATAAGGGGGAGAGCAATTGCGGAAGACACCCGACATCAACTTCTGGCCGCATGCGTCTGGACCTGAGCACATACATGCACACATTACACACTGCAAAAAATAGCAAACTTTACAGGTGTAATGAATGAACGTTTTCAACTACATACTTCATGATTTACAAAAACTGGGCAAGTAATCTGTAGTGAAAGATTCCTAACATTATAACCTTGGTTCATTGAATTAAGAAATGGCTATCCGAAGGCTGAGTGTCAAATTCATACAAGTGTAGAAGGTTCCCCAAAGTGCCCGGACTGTGCGGAACTTCGCTGAACAATTAGTCTGTCGCTGCAAAGCACCTTGGGAATGTCGCTGCTTTGAAAATACAATGTTCAACTTGCGGGGAGAGGAGATAAATCCTCCCAACTAACACATTACAGTGATTTCTTCCTTTTCCTTAATCTCCACCAGGTCCGGCTAGATTGAAGCCCCATTCTGCCCACCAGCCTCCAAGGCTCTGTGTCTCCTCCTGAGGCCCTAAGAGCCCAGAAGACGAGCTGGGAGGACCAGAGCTGCCCCAGCTCGCCTTCCAAGACGTCTGACGTCATCACGCAGATTTCCCCCCTTCCCCACTGAGTGGCTGGGTCCCGCCCTGGCCATGCCTCCAGCTGATTGGCGCGTCCAGGTAGGGCGGAAGGCGCCATTGGCTGGCGGTCGGGAAGGGGCGGGTCTCGGCTGCGCACTCCTCCAGGCACCTCCCCAGTTGCAAAGCTTCCCCTCGGCGAGCTGGCTAGATGCGTAGCCAGACCCGGCCGAGGTCCGAACTCGCAGCGCGGCGCCCGGGCCCCCTCTCCCGGCCTCGGGCGCGTCTTCCGAAGCCACGCGCTGGGGAAGTGGTACCATCGCGCGCCAGCCTGGCGCGGCCGTGACGTCAGGCATGCGCTTGCGGCGATTGGCCGAAGGCATGTGGCGCGGGCGGGCGCTGACGCGCGTGATTGGACACGCCTTCAGGGGGCGTGGCGGGGAGGCGGGGCTCACGGAGGGGCGCGCTCAAATAGGGCGCGTGGCGGGGTCCAGCCGCATCGACAGCTTGCGATCCAGGTGAGCTGTGTCCCGGTTTGGGGAGGAACCTGGGCCGAAGGGTAGCTGCGGTGGCGCGGTGGACTGGGAGCGTGGTCGGCAGGCCGGGCCGCCGGGGGCTGCCCTCCATCGGAGCGCACGGGCGGGGTGCTCTGGGCAGTGACGGGGCTGTGGGTAAACCGCTCGTAGCCCCGGGGTAGTTGGAAGAACAGCCAGGGAGCCCACGGGAAACCGAGTCGTCGCTCCCCTTGGACCCATCCACTTGACTTCAGAGAATGAGCCGGTCGGTGCTCAAACTTGGCTTCCATCTGGTCTAAAGATGCTTCTAGATGTACCTAGATCCTTTTCTCAGGTTAGGTGATGTGTCTTTGCCAGGTTAGGTGAGATGGGTTAGGTAAGTCCCATTTTACCCTGTGAGGATGAAGTTCCTTTTTAATAGCCTCGAGGAAAATTGTAAGTTGAAAGCGTTATTTCAAAAAGTTTAATCCCAGAAGAATGAAATCTACCTTAATGGGGATTTAATATAGTTAAAACTGGCCTGTGAGCTTTGTATTTGCATCCTCTGAGAAAAGAGAATATCTTTGAGGTCCATTTTCTTTTCCCCTGGTATTTGCCTACTCATGTAATCAGTAAGCTCATGTCGGTGTTTTGGTATTGAATATTTTGAGTTTCGGTATCATCAGTGACTCCTGATAACCCTCATTCTCCCATTTAGTTCATTGTATGCTCTATTTAGTTTTAGAAAGTTATACTATGCATTTTGTACTTATGTATTTAAAGTCTTTTTGTATGTTTGTGGTATGCTTCAACTCCAGTAATCCGTATATTTGAAAGAAGATCACAAAGTAGAGCCAGATGTGGTAGGGCACTGGGGACACAGAGGTAGGCTGATCTCTGCAAGTTCAAGGCCAGCCTGGTCTACATAAAGAGTTGCAGACTATCCAGGGCTGTATGGTGAGACCCTGCCTCAGTGTATATTAACAAAGTAGAGCACATAGAATCTTCAAAAGATTATTCAAGAAATTTGGAGCACATGTTCTAAGATGTTCACATACAGAAAGTGGTTTAAATTTAAATTACACTTGGGGGATTAGAGTTCAGAAAATTATACCTTAGTGCACTAGGGTAAAGATGTATGGCTTATGGCCTAATAACCCATTTGAAATTTTTTCCCTGGAGAAAAAGTATTTCTTGACATGAAAATTTAGTGGTTTCAATTTTAGAATCTAAAAAGACTTGATACTATACTAATTCACTATTTAAAGGTTGTCAGGAATTTCCCAAAGGCATCCACTGGAATATAGTGAATAGTTTTCTGTTCATCAAAAATATTGGCTATGAGACTGGAGAGATGTCTCAGTGGTTAAGAGCACTGACTGCTCTTGCAGAGGACCCGGGTTTGATTCCCAGCACCCACTTTGCTGCTATGAACCATCCTTAACTCCAGTTCCAGGGGAATCTGAAGCCCTCTTCTGACCTCAGCTGCATTGCACGACACGGGTGCACTTACATACATGCAGGCAATACACTCATACACATAAAATAAAAATATTTTTAAAAATATGTTGGCTATATAATGCCCTGGGCATTTATCAACCACAAAACTTACAAGTAAGTCCTCTCTAAAACTAGATGAACTGGCCTGTGAGCTTTGTATTTGCATCCTTTGAGGAAAGAGACTATCTTTGAAGCCCAGACTGAGGAAAACTGCACTAAATCTTACTGGGACATTGTTTAAAAAGCTATCAATTGCACCTTGAAAACTGTATTTCTGTTTTCAGCCGATGTGTTGCTTTCTAGAGCAACCCGTTGAGGCAGAAAATGCCAGAAGTCCTTGGGATGAGTGGGTACAGAGAAGCCAGAAACTGTTGTGGGAAAGTAGGATGAAAAGTTAGGTTGGTCGGCATTCCAGTCCTCCGAGATGTCAAGAATTTGAGTAGAAAGTTGAGTTTTGGAAGTTTCAAGCAGCTATTGTAAAAGTTGTGATTGCCTATAGAAGAAATGTGGAACTCAAGGGGATGGTGCACTGAGGCTGCAGGTGGGAGCTGTAAGCATACTTTGTAACTGTTAATGGCCGAATAGTTACTGGGTTCAAACCTAGACTTGCTTCTCCACCCGTTTATATGACATTCAGAAAACTATGATATAATGGCCTTTCTGTCAATGTTAGTGTTCTAGGTCAGAGCAGACATTTTGTCATAATGCCTGAAATAGAGACCAGCCATCTAGATGAAAAACAGGTTCAGCTTCTAGCAGAGATGTGCATTCTTATCGACGAAAATGACAATCAAATTGGAGCTGACACCAAGAAGAATTGTCACCTGAATGAGAACATTGACAAAGGTATTATTTAAAAATATTCTTTGTTATAAAGTGAGTTGCCCAGACATTTCCAGTTATCTGAGAGAAATACAATGGTAGAAGGAATGGTTTTTTCTCTTTTTTGGAGGCAAGGTCTCACTTTGTAGCCTGGCTGGCTTAGAACTCACTATGTAGACTAGGCTGGCCTTGAACCCACAGAGACCTGCCTGTCTCTTCCTGTGCCTTCCAAGTGCTGAGGGATACATTTCTTTGTTTTTGCTTTTGCTTCTTGAGCTAGGGTCTCCCTATATCCCCACCTGGCCTGGAACTCGCCATGTAGATCAGGCTGGTCTCAGACTCAGAGATCTGCCTGCCTCTGCTTCCCAAGTGCTGTGATTAAAGGCGTGCACCACCACACCTGGGGGGATGCATTTCTTAATCATACCTTTTTCATTCCAGTTAAAATGTGTAGTAATAAGTCTACCTTACTCCTTTCCCTGTTTGATATTTCTCTCCACTTTATGCCTTTTACTAAGCTTCAGAACTATTCTGGGTTCATAAAAGAAGGAATAGACTGTTCTTAGAAGAAGGTGTTATGAAAGGAAACATGAACCTTCACAACTAAACAGCCTGCGTTAACTATCCCTGAAAGAGTATCTGGCCTGCATGGAAGCTGCCAAGATCCTCCTTTTGGCTTGGAGACTGAGTCTCTTGCTGGTTTGCTGGAACCTTCTCCATAATAGTCATAGAAACTCCAGATAGAATACTATGGAAAACAGAAAAACTGTCAGCAAGTGTCTAGCTGTAACTGCAAGGGGAAAATTGGACAAATAACTGGCGTTTAATGACCAATCAGACGTCTTTTGCTTTTAGGATTATTGCATCGAGCTTTTAGTGTCTTCTTATTTAATACTGAAAACAAGCTCCTGTTACAGCAGAGGTCGGATGCTAAAATTACCTTTCCAGGTTAGTATACTTGATGTAAAAGGTAGATTTTTGATGGGAACTGTACTTAGTTTGACTGAACTTCTTGGAGCCAAGGTCCAAATACCATTGTTCCATGTTCTACATAAAATAACCTTACCCAATGAGTATAACCTAGCGAACAGTGGCGAAAGGTATATGTTAAAGGATTTAGTGTATGTGTGTGTGCACATATGTCTTATTTATATCCTTTTTTTTTTGAGGTGTGGTCTCATTCCTTTTTCGCCTCCTACTTTCTCTGTAGCTGAACTTTGAACTACTGATTCTTCTGCTTCCTCCCCTTACAGGCATGCTCCACCACGCCCAGCTATACATATTTTAAATATCTGAATTATCTGTATGTTTTTATCTTTTTGTTTTGTTTTTTATTTTGAGACAGGATCTCCCTCCCTGTAGCCCCAGCTGACCTGGAACTTGCTTTGTAGATCAGGCTGCCTCAGTCTCACTGAAGTTGGCCTGCCTCTGCCTCCTGAGTGCTAGGTTTAAAGGCATGTGCTAATTACCATGCCCAGCTGCCCACAAATGTCTTTTAGAAAATAATATTGGTAGCCCATAGTAACTAATTTAAAACTCCTAAAAGATTTTACCTATTTATCCAGTTACTTATAAACTTTACCTTGATCTTTCAGTTCTGCTTTGAAGAAACTTAAATCTATATATTAATGTTTTCTAGGTTGTTTTACCAATAGTTGCTGTAGTCATCCATTAAGTAATCCAGATGAGCTTGAAGAAAATAATGCCATTGGTGTAAGACGAGCAGCACAGAGGCGTTTAAAAGTTGAATTGGGGATACCGTTAGAAGAGGTAATCAACCATACAACCTAAATCTAAACCTATATTAAGATATTGTCTAATAATAACATTTTTTTGAAAGTGCTGGGTAGAACCCCTATCTTTGCATATACTAGGCATGTGCTCTCCAACTAAGCTACAATACCAGGACTCATCTTCCCAGGTGCCAAGATTACAAGAGTGCATCTTTATACTTGACTCCAACCCCTCAGGAAAAATTTATTCTTATTTATTTATATGTTTTGGAGACAGGGTCTCCCTGTAGCCCCAGCTGACCTGGAACTCACTGTGTAGACCAGGATGGCCTTGAACTCACAGAGATCTGCCTGCCTCTGCCTCCTGAGTGCTGGGATTAAAGGCGTGCGCCACTACACCCAGCTAAACATTTTAAATTCAAATGTAAACTCTGCTTTATAACCTGATTTATGAACTGACCCTAGAGGCCACTCTGAATAAATAGCATTATGTAAATTTTTGTTGTTTTGCTTTTTGAAGCAGTGTCTTGCTATGGAGCTCACACTGGCGTCAAAAGAACAATGTGCTTGTTTTGCCTCTTAAATGTTGGAATTATTGGCATGTACTTCCCAGCCTAGCTAAATTTTTATTTATTTATTTTGAGAATGATCTCATGAACCTTAGTCTGGCCTTGAGCTCACTCTGTGGCTGAGGGTGACTTGGAACTGATGGTCTTCCTGCTTCATTTCTCTAGTGCTGAGATTACAGATGTACACCACCACACTCAGTTTATGTGGTGCTGGGGGTGGACCCCAGGACTTCATCCAAGCTGGGCAAGCACTATGCCATCTGAGATCTGTAGCCCTAAATTTTGGTTTCTTAATACCTTCGAATATACTTTTGCCCAATACTGAGATGAATTGGTCTGCTCTGTAAGAATGACTATTAAAATTGGTCGAATCAGATGAATGTTTTCTTGTGGAAATCTTGAGTGAAATGAAATAACCTTTTCTTCTGGAATTGTCCTGTTTGAAGATTAGTATAAATAAAGTGTCTTACATCTAATTGAAATGGTAAATGCTTTTCTGTTACAGTAATTTTAAAATGTGATTGCTACATTCAAATTTGAACAACCATTTTTCTAGTATTTTGAAAAAAAAAATTAACTTACGAAGTTCTGATTGTAAAACTATGCCTCTGTCATTCAAGATATAACTGAAATGTGGTAAGTTAATTTTAGGTTATCTTTTGTTGTTGGTGGTATTTTTAATTAGTTTTTTCTTATGTTGTAGGTTGATCCAAATGAAATGAATTATCTAACACGAATTTACTACAAAGCTCAATCTGATGGTATCTGGGGTGAACATGAAATTGACTATATTTTGTTTCTGAGGAAGAATGTAACGCTGAATCCAGATCCCAATGAGATTAAAAGCTATTGCTATGTATCAAAGGAAGAACTCAAAGAAATTATGAAAAAAGCAGCCAGCGGTGAAATTAAGTTAACTCCGTGGTTTAAAATTATTACAGACACTTTTCTCTTTAAATGGTGGGAGAACTTAAGCCATTTGAGCCAGTTTGTTGACCATGAGAAAATACATAGGCTATGAATTGTACAAATGAATTGAAGATTTTCCTTATAAGAATGGGGTTTGGGTTGGTTGGGTTTTTTTTTCTTTCTTTCTTTGTTTTAAGTTGGGCTCCCTCTTAGGAAAAGTTATTGCAAAATGGTACTGCAAATAAAACTTAATTTAGCCTGCCCAAACATATGGTTATGACAGGACTGACATACATAAAACTATATTTTACATTTTACACACATTTTCAGAACACTTTGCCACTTACCAGGTGTTTTATATACCATTCAGTTTTATCCTATCAGAAAAGTGAGCAAAGGAAACTTTTCTTAGGTACTTCAAAACAGAACTAATAAATTAAATGGGCAGAGCCAGGCATGCAGATCAGCGGTAGTTTGAGTGCTTAGAAGGCGTAAGGCCGTGGATTGTTGAATCTCCAAAATGGGAAATAATTTATAACAATAATAGCAGGCCTAGCGTGTTCAAGGGAAAGTAAGTGGTGTCTAGTCATCCCCCAGTCTTCATACAGAATTAATTTTCAGGCCCCCTTTGTAACCAAAAATCTGGATGCTCACATCTTATACAAGGTGATATATAGTTGCCTTTAACTTGTGCACATGGTTTTAAGACCAAACGCAGTGTACATGCTAATGTAAATAGTAGTTATACTGTGTTGTTTAAGAGTTAACACCAAAGCAAAGTTTGTACATATGCAGTCCGGATTCAGTTTTCTTTCAAATATTTTCAGTACACAGTTGCTTGAACCCTTGGTTGTGTAGCCCATAATACGAAATGTCTCTGTATACTGATTCTGTCAGTTGATTTATTACTTTTGGTGGTAACAGTAACTGATTAACTCCTGAATAGTATTTGCCATTTAGCAGTCTGTTCATAATCACAGTGGACAAGATGCTGCTCATAAAATGGGTGTCAACTTCTACTTGACATGAGTTGAGAAAACCCTCAGCTCTGTTAGTACTTGGCCTGGATAATTCTTTGTTGTAGGGTCTATCCTGTGTTGAATGTTTAGTAGTATCATTTAGTAGTACACTAAAATGCCAACGAAAATTATAACCGATACTACCAAATGTCCTCTAGGGGGCAGAGTCACCCCTAGTAGAGAACCACTGTGTTCAGGGCTTATGTAAGAGGTTGAAGTGGGAGGAAATAGTAACGGGAAAGTTTATAGAATCGGTGGCTATTCTACTTAGAGTTGTATCTTGTCAGTGTGGTGGTGCACGCCTTTAGTCCTGACACTCAGGAGGCAGATGCAGGTGGATTTCTGTGAGTTTGAGGCTAGCCTACGTGGTAAGGTCCAGGTCAGCCAGGGCTATACAGTGCAACCCTTTTTCAATAAAATAAAATTGTATCTTGATTTATGTAGTTTTAAAAACTTGCCACAGGTTTGTCAGATTTGAAATCTTAAAACAGTTTTATTCATAAAAGCTATACATAAAATTTTCTTACAGAGTTAAATGTTTTATACATTTAATTTCTTGTTAACTGAGTAGTTGATTTTTAATTTAAGATATGGCTGTAGCAGGTATTTATTGAAAATAAAATAAAAATATATTTTAATACTGTCTGGTTCATTAATATTTGAATATAATAGTTAATCTGCCTATCATATCTTAAACATGGGAAATGCCATATAGTTTAAAATGCATTTGTAGTATTTCTAGGAACTTAGTTTCATTTTCTAGGAATTGGGATGCTAACTCCACATAAATACTCAACACCTCCATAGAGCTGGTGGCAGCTTGGTCTTAGACTGCTACGCTCGTAAAGTGCTGCTTAGAGCTTGTAAGTGGGTTCTGACCCAATAAACTGATACCAGCCAGCGCCTTTTTAAATGACGAGTAATGACCTGCTCCTGGGCTACCTCTGACCCTAAAGGCAAAAACCTAGATGTGTTAGTTTTGAGTTTGAAGGATAATTAAGATTGTGTGGGATTTTTTTTTTTTCCTTAGACTTCCATTTTCCGTATTAACCAAGACTGGACAATCTCTTGCCAACTCCTTTAAGGCAAGAGAGGGAGAAAGGAAGGGAACTGTGTTCCTGACCTTACCAGATGGGGATGGGCATGGTGGCCTACCAGGTGGGGATGGGCACGGTGGACCACCAGGTGGGGACGGGCACGGTGGACCACCAGGTGGGGATGGGCATGGTGGACTACCAGGTGGGGACGGGCATGGTGGGCTACCAGGTGGGGACGGGCATGGTGGGCTACCAGGTGGGGACGGGGACGGTGGCCCACCAGATGGGGATGGGGATGGTGGACTACCAGGTGGGCACAGTGCACAGTGGCCCACCAGATGGAGATGGGTACAGTGGACCACCAGGTGGGGACGGGCACAGTGGACTACCAGGTGGGCACAGTGCACAGTGGCCCACCATTCTTTCAAGTGATTGTATTTCATTTCAGACCTGAGGCTTCTAAAGTACACAGAAATACTTGAGAGTCACTGTGGCTTCTTTGAGTCAAATCAAAATAAAGGTATCATGAAGTCATACCCATGCATTCAGATTGCACACATTCCTGATAGGTTACTGCTGGCAAGTTTGGAAGAGACCCCCAGCACCAAAAAAAAAAAAGGAGAAATAGATATATTGCAGGGTTCATGTATAGACTATTCAATCATCTTGAGGTACATACAGGTTATTCGAATGATTGCTGTATAGTCTCATCGCCAATAGCTTTCTCACCAGCTGCATAACATTACCAGCACTAAGAACAGTGTCAGATTTAGGCCTAAATTGACTCTTTGTCACCAATCGTACCCCAGTTTGGCATTCTCAGAAGAATCCCATCCGTGATATGTACGGAAGGTGCAGGTGCATTTGAATGGCTCACTTTTTGCACACTGATCTCCCTCAAGAGCAGCGCTTCTTAGGTTTTTTTTTTTTCAATCCGGATCAATCTTCATTTTTACCTTCGGGTCTTTCTGCACTGACAATAATGTCTGGACCCCTCTCTGCTTGGGAACGTCATCTTTACTCTCCTGAATTATGCTTTCCTTTTGGTGCTGGACCCAAGGACGATCCTCTGGTGGAAGGTAAAGAAGTCTGGCAGTAGGGCTGAGCATCAACTTGTGAAGGTCCCTTACTAGCATTTCTGGCTGTGAGCCTGAATCTTCAGGAGCATCTCCCTAGGACGTCAGAAAAGACCCGGGGGTCCCGGTTGGGTTCAACATTTCCGAGGGTTCCATGGTAATCTTTTCTTTGATTTTTATTTTATGTGTATGAGTGTTATTGCCTGCATGTATGTAAGTGCACACGTGTCATGCAAAGACTGCGAAGGCCAGAAGAGGGCTTCCGATCTCCTGGAACTGGAGTTAGGGACAGGTGTTAGTTGCCATGTGGGTGCTGGGATTCGAACCCATCTCTTCTGGAAGAACAGCCAGTGTTCTTAACCACTGAGCCATTTCTCCAGCCCCCCACTTTCCCTTTCTTAACTGCTGGATAGCTTTAGTTGTCAACTTGACACATCTAGGTACAGGGATCCTCAACTGAAAAATTTCTTCCATTGGATTGGTTTGTAGGCATGTCTGTGGGGCATCTTCTTGGTTGTTGAATGATGTGGGAGGGCCAAGCCTATTTTGGGCAGTGCCATCCATGGGCAGGTGGTCCTGTGTTGTTTAAGAAAGCAGGCTGAGCACAGACCAGGGGAGCAAGCCAGTAAGCAGTGCTCCTCCATGGTCTGTGCTTCAGCTCAGCTCCTGCCTTCAGGTTCCAGCCCTGACTCCCTACGCTGACTTCCCTCAGTGATGAACGTGACCTAGGAGATGTAAGATAAAATAAACCTTTTCCTCCCCAAGTTGTTTTTGGTCAATGCTTTTTTTTTTTTTTTTTTTTTTAAATCACAGCAATAGAAAACAGACATTAACCTTAACTCTCATGCAGACTTTGTCCTCATCCTGTAGACGCATTGGTAGTGTTTTTTTGAGGCAGAAAATGGGTGGCATATTCATTGTCACTTTGAGAAACTAGATGTCACCTGGGTTCCCACATTAACCTTTAAATGAGTGAGGTAATGTGAATCCATCTGCCTTTTGGTGTGTGTGTGTGTGTGTGTGTGTGTGTGTGTGTGTGTGTGTGTGTGTATACACATGCACACGTGCATGCCCCTGCGTGTGTACCTATGTGCAGAGGTTAGAGGTTGACATCAAATACCTTTCCTCTACCACTCTTCATCTTATTTTTACTTTTAAAGTATTTTATTATTTTTACCTTATGTGTATGAGTGTATTGCTTCCATGTATGTAAGTGCACTCATGTTGTGCAATGCTTACCGAGTTCAGAAGAGGGCATGGAATCCCCTGGAAGTGGAGTTAGGACAGTTAGCTGCCATGTGGGTGCTGGGAATCAAACCCAGGTCCTCTGCAAGAGCAACCAGTTCTCTTAACTGCTGAGCTGTCTCTCTAGCCCTTCTTCACCTCATTTTTTTCAGTCAGGGTTTCTGAATTACTGCATCTGGAGCTTACCAGTTGGCTAGACTGGCAGACCAGTGGGTTCTGTGGATCTGATTGCTTCTGCTCTCTCCACCACCCCAGGGCTAAGGTTACAGACGTGTACCACCACGCCAAGTGTTTCATGGGCATTGGGTGTCCAAACTCGGCTCTTCGTGCTTATATGACAGGCACATCATTAGCTGAGCCATCTCCCCAGTCCATCTGCTCTCTCTTTTGGAGCCCTTTCTTGCCTAGTAGCTAGGAAGCTCCAGGAAAATAGCTACAATGAGTAAATCCATCTTGATGTTTCATGTGATAGGTTGTTATTGAGCAATTTAAAGAAAAAAAACAAATGCTCTACACACAACAACATGAATACGTCTCACAGACCAATCTTGAGTGGAAGAAGCCAGGCACAAAAAGTATGTGGTTCCAATGATGAAGTTTAAAAATAGTGTTCTTGCAGAAGACCTGGGTTCATTTCCTAGCACCCACATGGTGGCTAACAACTGTCCCTAACTAGTTTCAGGGAATCCAACACTTCTTCTGGCCTCTGCGGGCATTGCATGCATGGTGTGGTGCACTTATGTGCAGGGAAAACACTCATACATGTAAAATAATAAAATCTTTTAAAAATATTTTTATTATTTATTATTTTATGTGTATGAGTGTATTGCCTGCATGTATGTGAGTGCATCCATGTCATACAATCCTGCCGAGGTCAGACGAGGGCTTCGGATTCCCCTGGAACTAGAGTTAAGGACGGTTCATAGCCGCCGTGTGGGTGCTGGGAATCGAACCCTGGTCCTCTGCAAGAACAGTTAATGCTCTTAACTGCTAAGCCATCTCTCCAGCCCCATAAAATCTTTTTTTAATGAGGCAAGCCAATTGAAGATACAAACCAAAATAGGTGAACGCATATGTTAGAACCAAGTGAAGCTTAAGATTTGTTGACTGCAAATGCTTGTTCGATATAAATGAATGTAGAATTAGTGTTAAGCAGAGGCAACAGTGGCTGATCACCAGGATTAGAAATCTGACACCTCTGCCCACTAGCTCTTGGTATGGGTGTCAGGCAACTGGTGGAGCAACACTT